AGTCGCACGACTATATCGAATCTCCTTGATTGTCAGGATTGAATTAGACGTCACACATGAGGGTGTATGCAAGCGTCAACCAATTACTAGCTTGTGGGTGTATCGAAGATTCCTAAAGCAGTTAGCAACAAACATAAGTGATAGGTATCCTTCATCGAGGCCAATTCAGACTGTTTTAACAACCCAGTCCCTGTCGCCGAGAGACTTCTGTAGATCCTGCTTACCTAGTGGATGACAGTGAGCTACATCATGCCATCTAAATCTAAATACACTGACTTGAAGAAGATTCTGTAACGGCCGCCCATTGAAGTTAGTGAGAGTGGGTTAGTCAGGTCAGGTCAGGTCAGGTCAGGTCAGGTACAGCGGACGATAGAGGCCTTCGCCTAACCAGCGTCCTGTTTCTTGTGTCGGTACGTGAAGCGGCCCCCGGCACTTCGACGTTGGATTGACTCTTCTTGCTTCTGCAAAGGAATGAAGCAAGAACAAGAGCAATCTTTGCACTTTCATGTGTCGACATCAAAATACACTACATATTCCAGTACAATTACAATATCTCTGGGAAAAGGACAGACCAACACTCATCTAAGCCCCTTTTGAAGGCTTCTACAGACTCACATTCCACTAAATCAGAAGGAAGTTTATTCCAGATGTTAACTACTCGGTTCGTAAAAAATTTTGCCCTGATGTCCAAACGAGCTCTATGATGTTTAAACTTCAGCCGATGCGCGCGCAGGTGGTCCGACATAGCTAACTCAAACAGATGGGTGGGACTAATACCACTAAGTTCCTTAATGATCTTAAACATCTCAATCAAATCCCCTCTCAACCTACGCCGTTCCAAAGAAAATAATCCCAAGCTACTTAGACGATCTTCGTACGACTTCCCTCGTTGGCCTTCGATCATCCTGGTCGCAAGTTTCTGAATCTTTTCTATACACATGGCGTCACTACGGAGGTACGGTGCCCAGGCCTGAACACAATACTCCAGATGTGGCCTAACCACTGCTTTATATAGCGGTAAGAATACTACTGCTTTAGTGTTACTCAGCGCCCTCCTAAGACGAAACAACTCTTGTCGCGCTTCATTGGCATGATGGCGACACTGTGCTGAAGGCTTAAAATTGTTCAGTATGATTAGACGTAGATCGCGAGCTTCATCGGTACACTGCAATGATGGGGACCCCGCAGAGGACTGCACTTCAATTCCGCTACTACTATTGGTCAATAGCTGACATTTATTGGCATTTTGAAGTAGCTCCCATTGGCTCGACCCATTCACCACAGTGATGATATCCTTAGCCAATGTCGCTCGGTTTCCCCTACTAACTAGCTTTAAGTCATCTGCGAAGATATAGCAGGGATCCTCAAGAAGAGGAGCCAGGTCATTTATAAACATAAGAAACAACAATGGACCCAGTACCGAACCTTGGGGAACACCGCTGAAGGCATGGCCCACACTAGAACTCGCTTCCCCAACCCTGACTCTGAATGTCCTTCCACGTAAGAATTCAGAGAGCCACAGTAATAGTTGAGGATGCAATCTAAACCATGTCAGCTTCTCCATTAAAAAACGATGATTCACTGAGTCAAAGGCTTTACTGAAGTCCGAATAGCACACCTCTACCGACATCCCACTATCCAGACATCGGGTAATCTCATCTAAAAAACACAATAAATTGGTAAGACACGACTTCTTTTTAAGAAAGCCATGCTGTTCCGCTCTAATTAGATTGTGCTCAGTCAAGTGCTCATAGATCCTATTTCTTATAAGCTTTTCCTAGTACTTCAGCATGATGCTGGTCAAATTAACAGGTCTATAGTTATGAGGCACCGACTTAGAACCCCCTTTGTGGATGCCAACAATGGTCGTCTCCTTCCAATCACGTAGCAGATTGTTTTCTTGAGAAGACTAGTTGAATAACTCCGCGACAGAATACTGAATGATATCAGCCAGCCGCTTAACTATGGCGGGATGTACACTGTCAGGACCAGCTGATTTATAAGGGTTCAAACTGGCCAACACTGTGAAGACCTCTGGCACATCGAAAATAATTTCCCGCATGGTATAGCTACTTGAGCAGTGCGGCTGTGATGGCAAGGCTGACCCACTATCCTTCCGAGGCAGATTTTGGCAGACACGTAGCAGCACTACTACTTTATCGACGTCGTCTGCAGCCTGGCTGCCGTCCTCCATGGTTAGACAGCCGACCACCTCTTTTAGAGTAGCCTTTGATTGAACATACGTGTAATAACACTTACGATTTGTTTTCGCGAATTTGGCCAACCTAAGCTCATATGAGTACTTCTCCTGCCGCTGCAACTGAATAGTCATATGTGACAATCTGGGCTTGGGGGTTTGACGAAGGTTCACTGGATCAAATGTGTCTGGGTTTTGAAGACTAGGCACAGGAATGGCACTGATGGGCACACTGTACACGGATTAAAGCAGAAATCGGTTCTACGGCTGTTTGCATAAGGATAGGCTCTGTTTAGGTATAGTCTGCCTGTGCAAACACTTTAAACGCTTGCATCCCTGTTTCAGGGCACGGTGTTTTTCCCTCTTCCCGATGGAACCGGCTTGTTGTATAACTTGATCGGAGCGGCCGAAGCCCCGAAGCCGCTTGGCAAACTGACTCGCGAAATCGAATGCAGAAAGACGCATGTCGAGACTATACGTGTGCCCAACTGGCTCAGTCGAACACAACGATTCCGAGTGGTAAAAGAATTGTTGAAACCGGATAAATCGGACCCAGGCGCCTCTATGCAAGGACTTGAATACGTAAATGTACCAGCAAATGGGGATCGAGAATACCGGCTGAGTCTTTTCGCCTACCGAGAGGGAACTGTTCAGGTTAAGGTGAGTTAGTTATGCCACACAAACTTTACACAAACCATTGCCTATGTGGTACTCATGCGTGGCACGGTATTGCAGTTTAAAAAGTAACTGGCTGTCATTCATACGAAGGATGTCTCTTGCTTCTTACACCTATAATGAAAAGATGGTGTTCACACTCTAACCGAGATGACGTATACTCCAGTCGGTCCTCTATGCACAAGCGGTTTGTTCAGCAAAGGTAGACATACGAGAAAATAGCAAGTTTGACCACTGGAACGGTTTGATATACGTTGTTTGTGAATCTTCGTATATAACGACGTTTTTGAGCCGATAAGCTGCCTGCTTCAGTCCAATCAAACAACACAACGTGCGAAGTCACAGTGGCGCACACTAAATTCAGCCAGTCAGTACAGCCGTGTAGGCGAAGGAGGACGCTGTTGCATCCAATGATCGAATCCACCAAGTTCGTCCTCCATTAATCCTCTGGTTCGTTACTTGGATCTATCTGTTTGCTCTGACAGGAAACTCATCACTGTGTGAATGACATAATCGGCTTCTGCATACTGGTGCTTTGCTTTAGGTTATGCCAAACATATAGTATTTTCCATTACTGTGCGGGGCACTGTGCTTCAGACGACCATCGCTAGCTACAGAGTTACCGATGCGCAGACCACGCGCTCACCTTTGCCCTTTTGTGTGTCATGGGCATTGGATGACTAAGTCGAGCGTGTGTTAGATACGCTTGCGGCCAACGAAGAGGGTAACGAGAAAATGTAAGTCTCGTCGACTGCTTTTCCATGAACCTTTGTAAGAGCGTGCCAGACCGGTTCCAAATATCCCTTTAAAGAGGATCCCCAGGGTAAGTTAATCACAGCCACTGGTAATAGATGTACTGGAAACTAATGGCCAAATGCGAGGAGCTTAATTCAAGTTCAAACGGTATAAACTTGGCTGCTTGAGGTTAAAAGAAAGGTAGCATTGAAAGGGTACTATATTACTCCGTACTGCGCAGCATGGTGATTGGATCGGAATGAAAAAGTCTAAACAGTGCCAGAGTTAACAATTACCCAAGGTGGCTTCAATGCCTTGAAGTGACTGGTAGTTTAGGGGGGGAAGTTATCACTTTACTGATCAGCTTTGTCCTCCATACAATAGTATCATGCACATAGGAAAGCCGTTCAGCCACAGTGGTCACCCAAGGATAAGTTGTTTGAATCAGGCCACGTATGAGATGAGGGTAGTCATGAACTCGAGATCAAAGCGCACCGCTACTGCGTCCTATCGACTATTTTCCAAAATGTCAGGGTCCATTTGTGTGAGTGTTGATGCGACTATATCCGATATCCCTATTATCGCTCTAAATCCTTAGGTGCGTTCGTTCCCATGGTGAGGTAAACGGCTCCAACCGCTTGACGCGATGGGCCAAATCTTGGCACAGGCGTAAATACCTTTCATTGTGTGAACGTTTCATTTTGTTTTTTTCCGTCTGTTACTTCCAGCTGACGTTCACTAATGAAGACACAAAAGAATACCAGTATTATGAGCTACATCTCAAATTCGTGCGTCCAGATCCAGTGGAGGTTGTTCGGCTCCGTACTCCAGTGCGTAGACCGATCGCGTACACCATCCACCTGAACAACCCGTTGAAAGTACCGGCGAATTTTCGCTTAACGACAACTGTGCCAGAAGTGCAAATCCCTTCACAGGTACAGATTCCACCAAATTGTTCGGTGAGTGATCTTCAAGACTTCAACATATGTGGAGAGTATAACTGACGACACTCATTCTATTAGACAAAAGAGCTTGTGGCTTATATTCAAAAGTGTAATGAAGAATTCTTTGCGTACGGACGGTTGATTCTAACCTGAGGTGAGATGAAATAGGGGTGCACGATCCAAATGGAACAAGGGACAATGCGCCCAACTTTTCGGTGTTGGGAATTGCCTACATTATCTGCATGCATACAGGCTTCGGATAGCTAATGCGCTTGTTCAACATCAGATGGATGAGTGGGGAAACAGAGCTCCTATTAAATACGCGTGGCTGTGGGTTTATAGCCAATAAGACTCGAGAAAGATTTTCACTACTGACAAGTACCAATTATACGGAATGATGGCTCACTACTTTTACGGGCGTCTAGCTATCGTATGAACAAGTCTGATCGGAACGAAAACGCTTGAAACCCAAAAGAACCCTAACCTTATATCAAGCACACATCGGCAGAGCCGTACAGCTACTCCACTCGAACCGTGTAGGGCTGCACAAAACGAATTGCAAAGACTAATGGTGGTTGAATAGCTGAACCTGTCCTTTGCTTTTCAATGGCATACCTGGTGACTTAATCGTGCTGTCTGAGCAGATGCGTTGCCTCATCCGTTTCTTTTAAAGCATTGCTCGTTGGTGGAAAATGGGATCACGTTAGTTGTTTTAATGTTCCCTCATATCAAGAATCGTCGGCTTGGGCAACCGGGTAGTATCTCGCCCTCTGACTAAACCATGGGCTTTAAGTGTTGTGTTGTATTTTCTTTTACAATTTCTGTACTAAGTTCTTTTGTGTTCCATGGTTTCTGATGACTCTATGTCTATTCATAGACTGTTGCAAAATAAAATATAAATATTGCTAATACTGCAGACTTTACGCTGTCAGCTAGCGTTTGGATGCCTCACATTGTTGGATATGATATGAAAGCTAGGCTTCAAGTACCATGGTCCAGCCAAACACAGACTGGGTGCCTAAATTTGGTTACCAAACACAGTATGAACTGTACTGAATAAATAGCGAATGAGCGAATAATGTAGTGCGTCGCATAACATGAGGCAGCAGGGTGGAACCTGGAAACCCGAAGTAATGTAATGCGGTGAAATTAGGGTCAGTCAATATTCATCAATATTTGAGTTAACTAAAGCTTAGATAGGAGCGGAGAGGATGCATATACAGCCGTAACAAACGCGCTACCGACAGAGTTTATTAGGGAAAAAATATGAGTGGGTAAATGCAAAACAGCAATTTGCATAAAAATTGAAGTAGAATCATCAACTATTTACTGAGCGAATAAACATTTGTGCTTCGAAAATGCGACAGATCACGGGCAATTAATGTACCGTAGGCTCGCGAGCGAGTGTACCTGATTTTATACGTTTACTTGTTGGGCATTCAAACAATATCCCATGGAGGCGGAGAGTGTTTTGGAAGTGTTTTTTTACAACACAACATGAGTCATCATCATCAACAGCCGTACACCAGCCATTTGAACTAATGCTCTGCTACCATACAACCATAACGACCTACGGAATGAAGAATACTAAGAGGGAGAGAAGGGAGACTTATCGGAGAACCGTAATGTCATAAGCAATCATTCGGCGTCAAGAAGCATACACCTTGTTAACAACATACCACCACAAACAGCTGGCTATCGTGCAAAGATAAGGCGGCATTAGCGAGACAGCTTTCTTGCGATTTTCACTGCCCCGCGTTCTAATCAGCCATTACTCCGCAGACAACAGCACCATACACACTCTAAACGCAATCCGACTAGGAGACGGCAGCAGATGCGCCACTGGCGCGGACTGCGAGCCAAGTCCTGGAAAGTCTCGAGCCAAGCACAAGGCGGGTCAGGTGAGTCCAACGTGGAAGGCGGCATGGACCGACGGCATCCATTTTGGTCGTTATTGCCTTCATTACTCGCTGCAGTGTCAACATTTTTCGACCTCTGGCCTTGCGCCACCCTACGTCTGGCAGACTAAACAAGGCCCTTCTCGGTAAGCGGTGACCAGGCCTACGTAGCACGTGCACAAGCCAATGCAACTTACTCAGTGCTACCTGTTGTTCTAAGGAACTAGCTTGAGTATCACTGCGTAGCACACGCCTACGCACATCATCATTTCGGACACGCTGGTGCCATCCGTCACCAGTAGTGCTTCGCAAACAACGATGATCAAGGATTTGAAAACACCTCAGTTCTTCAGACCGAAGTGGCCAAGTCTCACTCCTATAGCGCAGGACGGCCCTCACTGTGACCTTGTAAGCACAGCCTTTCAGACGGAGGGAAACCCCTTTCTGTCGCCAAAGATGTCGCAGCTTAAAAAAGGCAATTCTGGCTTTTGCAATACCTCAAAAGCTATGCACCCATCGTTGCTGATACAGCTGTCAAGGTAAGTGAACTGAGTAACTACCTTGAGCTCCTCGCTATCTAGGGTCAAGGGGTCATCAAGTAGCTGGTGGTCTTGCAGTTAAATTTGCACTTTGAAGCTGCGAAGCGCATGACAACTAATGGAACCACTCTACACAGGTTATTCAGGGTTGATTACACTGCTCCAATATTGTTAAACAGCAAAACAATATCGTCTGCATAATCAAGGTCAACTAACCTTTCACCAGGCAGCACCTCAACGTATGCATCTTGAGACTTCTCAAAGCAGCACTCGGTGATGCAGTTCACTACGAAAATGAACAAAACTGGTTAAATTGAACAATTCTGACGAACTCTACTTGTTGTCGGAAAGCTATCCGACAGGTTACCGTACACCGTAGTAGACCGTAGGCCTGTAATGCTCGAGTACAGAGCACGTAAGATGTTCACATATTTCATGGGAACGCCTTTCCGCGCAAGTATTTGAAACAGAATGCATCGGTTGACTGAATCGAAGTCACCATTGAAATCGAGGAACACAGCTATTGTCGGTCTGCAGTATACGTGGCTCTACTCTAGCACCTGCCGCAAAGTGAATCTATGGTCTATACAGCCCAGTCCTGGACGGAAACCTGCCTTCTTTTACCTAATACAGGATGCCCGTTCCGCAGTGAGGCGACGAACGAGGATGGAGACCAGTAATTCTGACACAACTAGCGTTAGGCTAATACCGCTGTGGTTAGAACAATCGGTGCGTCTGCCCTTCCTGTATATTGCCACTATGATCTACTCACTCTAATTGGCCGGGACGGTTTACTCCTTTCATACATTGCCGAACAGTGAGGTCAATGCTTTGCAGAGGACCTCACCTCCATCCTTAAAATGTGCAGGTGGAAGGGAATCCGGGTCAGCGGCACCAATATGATTGAGGGCTGGGATCGCGTTTCGAACCTCGGCCTCCGACGGAGGCCCTAAACTAACCGTCCATAGCTTACCTTGTATCACCTGAGTAGAAGAGGTCCGAATGCAGAGGGCCAACTGAACTGATCTTGGAAGTGTTCCTCCCACCGAGCCATACGGCGCTCCTTATTGTGGATCATGACACATGCACTGTCTCTGATTGTTTCACTGACGTCTGGTTTCCTGCGACCAGTGGCTCGAATCAGCTGGAAGAGTTTGCAATAGTTTGCTACTGCTCCCGCCTCCTCCATTTGTTGAGCCCGACTGGTCCACCAGGCTTCCTTGTGAGCACGTAGGCTCCGTTTTGGTTCACGCCCAATAGCCCGTCTAGTCACACTGTGTTCAGAGTCAGCCGGCAGATTTCTAGATTCCAACAGGTTCACCGACCTCTCGGATATCCAGTGGCTGGTGCGGTGACGTTGGATAGTGCCACAAGCACATACTCCTGAGTCGTGCATGGCGGCCGAGATTTTATTCCACTGAAGCTCAGTGTCATTAGGACAAGACAGCGAAAGTTCGGTACGCAGTGCGCCTTGATAGGCTTGTCTGACCGAGGGCTGAGACTTTCACAGTTGCCAATGGGGGTAGAAGCTTGGTGCGTCTGTCGGTAAAGTTCATGAAAAAGCGAGAGCGTACCAAGGCATGATCAGAGTCGACGCAAATACTCCAGTACGAGAGGCAATCCAAGATGGAAACACGTCACCTGTAAGTCATGGCAATATGATCTATTTGGGTCAGTCGATGGCCAGGTACATGAGGACGCCAAGTGGCACTTCTGCGCCCAGTGTGTCTGAAAGCAATGCTACTAATAAACGGCTGGTGCTCCGCACACAGTTGCAAAACACGCTCGCCGTTGTCTGTACGGTCGGAGTTATGCCCATATTTCCCACCTAGCCTAGCATGCGTAGACACATTGTTGCCAATAACCTCCTGACTTGACATTGATCAAGCAGAAACATTATGTAAGAAGGGGAGCCTGCGAGTCTGCCAGCTGATCACTGAAATTGAGTGCTCACACATTACATATTAGGTGATGACGGCGCAACATGGACAGACAAGTATGGGTAAAAAGTAACTACCTACAAATTGGTGTGGGTGGAAATTTATAACCTACTCAATCAGACAGCCATCACACACCCCAGGACGAGCACTGTACGGCTGTTTCATCCTTTCGGGAATCATCATCAGCTGCGCGCATTCCATCTGGTGCCTGTGGGGCTCGAACCCGCAACTCGACTGTTGGCAGTCCGTGTGAAGATCACTGAGCTACGGGGGACGGTAACGACCATCATGACAAAGTTACTAACGCCAGACAATATCCACTGACTCCCAACGTTATTGCCGTGCTCGGTGAAGATAGAACGACACTTGCTTTCAAGCTGAATTAATCGTGTGTGATGGCTGTCTGAGTGTAGATGTGACGCATTTCTTCCCATTAACATTCAACTCACATGTACTCAAAAATGGTCAGTAAGATAACTGAATGAGCTTTGAATAACACAGAAAGAAGACGAAAATTGGTAGATGCGCGCATTTCATATCATCTCGTCAGTACCATTCTGATAACGGAAAATAATCAATGTAATCAAAGGGTGTCACCAGACTAATCAATAATCAAAGTGTGTCACCTGACCAGTCAGGTGCACCAGGGAGAACGGCGGCTATAATCCTAAGACCGCGGCAGGCGAAGAGTTACAACCATTTGTTTTTCCACACATAGGACCGGTCTCATTCGGTTTATCGCCACGGCCTTGGCAAAGCGCAAGAACCGCGAACTAGGATGACGCAGTAGAATCCGGAACGCCGAGACAGGGTTAACCCGATGATGGGACTCCCAAATGTGTCTGCCTATTGATGACGCTGGTGGCTTACGTGAGCTCGGAGCACTAGAGGCGGGTTGGTTGACCTCCCGTTGAACTCAGTTGGGCAGGTGTTCCTTCACTCTGGAATTCAAAACCCTCTCGGTTCTGCTTATGTAACCGACTCCGCAATCACATACAAATTGGTAAACGCAATGGGATTTGGCGCCGATGGGTTCCTCTTCCTTGTCTGAAAGTAACAACAGCTTCTGGGTTCTGCTAGTTACGACCGCGTCAGCGGCGTAGTATGTTCTCTGGATGGCAGAGTATAAACGCTTGGCTGTCCTCATTGTGGCAGCGCTGCCCTTGAATAGAAGTTCAAGGTAAACCTGTTTCTTAGATGCTGTCAACACCATTTTTCGGCTTGTCTGTGCTTATCGATGTAACGTTTAGGGTAGCTGTTTTCCATAAGTGTTCTGGTAATGGTTTCCATATCCTCAGCCAGACAATCAATTAAACAAATTCTTCTGGCACGGGAAAACAGAGTCTTCACAAGCACACGTTTGTGACCCATTAGCGTGAAGCTCGTAAAGTGCAGGTATCGACCAGACCATGTCGGCTTTTGGTATATAGACCGCCTAACGAGCCCGGTATCACTTCGACTGAGGAGAATGTCAAGAAATGGAAGGCAATTATTTGACTCGAATGCATGGGTAACTTTTAAATTCATATGGACGCTGTTCAGCTGTCTGGCCAGGCATTCTATCTGTGTTCTTGAGGAACCGAAAACGAGTATGTCATCAACATACCGCTTGTAGAAAGGTAGTTGCGAAATCACCCCTCAGTTTTCTTTCAAACATTATCATGAAAAAGTCGGCTATTGCAGGCTTCAGAAGACTGCCCATAGCCACTCCATCGATTTGGCAATAAGAGGTCTGTTGGAAACGGAATTCGACGTTTTCCGTGCACAACAACAGAGACTGCCTGAGTAGATCTGTCGGTATTTGTACACGGACTTTTTCGACCTCAATCAGATGACATACTTAATCAACTATTTCGAGCAATGGAACGTTAGTGAACAACGATTGGACGTTCATAAAGCACATGAGCTTGTCGGCTATCTTGTTGTCGAGATCCTCAATGAGTGCAAAAGAATCCTGAAATGCTGCCTAAGTGGGGCTAAGATTCGCATTAGACAACGCGCCCACTTGTGCTGTGGGGAGTTCACCATTGATAAAATTAGTCTTAACGACATCACAGCCACACTTAAACAGCCACTGTACATCCACAGAAATGCTGGACGGCGGTATTATCCTTGAAAATTATTGGAAATACCTGTAGCTCGGGGGGTGGGTGGATGAGAGGGTTGTTCTGTTTTCCAAGCTGGGCATTTTCGTTGCAGACGTTTTGTTGCCAAGCTAGGCAACATCCTCAGTACCAGTATCAGGGTCTGATTCGCAGCGTCTCGTAAGCAACTGCCAGATTCAACTGACTATTGATTGTCTCCTACTTTGAATGCTAGTCTTCAATTGTACCTATTGTTGACTTCAGCTGCAACGCTTCGTAGACGAACCACTCAGTTCGCTTGCTACGCCCCGAGGAAGTCACCTTGATTAGTGACGAAACGTCTGCAACGCATGTGTACAGCTCAGAGAACAGACCAGAACTTGAATAGACTCCCTCTAGTTCCAGATGCATGTTGGTTGAGCTCTGGCCCGAACGCCCGATCTCGATGAACTCGCGCGCTCTGCGGTTCTTCGCTCTTCCAAGTACCTTGAGGTTCTCCATAGCGAAATGATGGTCCTCGGCATCCATATGTATATCCATATGTACCTTAACGATTTTATGATGGCGGATGGCCAGACCATGTTGGTGCAGTCTTGTGCTTAGTTTCCTCCTTGTCTTGCCTATGTAGTACCTGTCACAGTTTTGGCATACAATTTTGTAAATCACACCTGATCTTTCTTCTTTACTCACTTGGTCCTTTAGCCCAGAAGGTTTACTCAGAACTTCGGTGGGTGTAAGGAATGACGATTGTTTTCCGTTCAGTTGCGCTTGTGAAGTGGGCTAGGGTTAATTCTTCGACATCAGGCAGCGGAGAATAAAACTTTAAAGGTACGAATTCCGCTGAAACATGTTGAATAGGTGACCTTCCTCCGTCTTCCTCAGTTGCAGCGTGCTACGGTGTGTTTGGGCTCGTTTAAAAAGTATCCTCACGCAAATGCTTTTGTGAATGGTCAGTTGGTTGCTGTGATAGTTCAAGATCTGGTCCGTGTGCGTCGCTTTCCGATAGACTGTTGTTTCAGGGCGCATGTCATGTCATGAGCAAGTCTAATAATAGCAACTGGCCCTTGTTCTCCTCCTATCTGTAAGCCGGGAGAATATTAGTTATCGGTTGATGTAATTCTTGTAGTCTAGGGTGCTCGAGGATGATAGAATCATCGTCCACGTAATGTGCCCAAAGTTTGGGCTCCACCATGGGCAATGCCTTTAATACCAGTACTTTCATTACTGCCTCGGCTACTAGTCCAGAGATTGACGAACGCATTGGCTTGCCTATTATCTGTTTGTAGGTTTAGCTATTGAAAGTGAAGTATGTGGCTAGAGCTTAAGCAACTCCTTTCATTTGAGTGACTCCAATCCTGTTGTTCGTATCCGCTACCCGTGTTGTTCAAATAGGGTCATCATTATTTGCCTTGCCAACTTCAAGGGTTCTGTCTCCGCATAGGGCAGATGTTATATTCACTGCTGACCATCCCAAAAAGCTGAAGCGGTCGTCCAGTGCTTCTTTGGATGCGCAGCCCCTGTATTACTGAGTGGGACTATGATGAATCTCCATCGACAATTTAATTTAAATGCCACCTTTATCATCTGTACCAATACAATACAATGTATGCTAGTTTGAAATGGCTTTTACCTTTGAATTTAGCGGTCGACAACCTAGTGTTTAAGCTGTGAACAAGAGACTTCGCGGTTAACTATCTAATGCTCTTATAACTAGGCTATTATGCCACACAGAACTGGATTATTCGCAGCGCTAATTCCGATTATGCTTAGCATCGAACTACACCATTTACGACCCCGCATGATTCGCAAGCAGCGGTTGCCATCGCATTCTTTTATTTACTTTTAAGCCAGCCAGCTTTATTTTCCTAGCCGCTCAGATCAGTGCTGTTTGGCTGATCCCACAACACGTCAAGGACAGCGCTATTCAGTTTGAAACTGGGGTCTGCAGCTAGTGTTAGAGCGAAAGGCGTTTTAAGTATAACGAGATCTGTCAGACTCAGCGAGATGTCCACATGTTCTGAGTCCGTCCGTCCGTACAGTCGCAGTCTTACGTATACTGTGCTCAAACAATGTTGTGCACATCTGCTATGATAATAGAAACAGAGTTGAAATAATCTGGCATTAAGAATATTACGCCCCTGCAGGAAACAATACGTGCATTCAACTTTTCCTTCCATACAACCGCATTTTTTGTTCGATTTCTATGATTTACAGGGGTCAGTAACCTTGGAATTTGTCCCACTTTGTGTGGGGACATACAATGGACGACTAGATGCAAGCTGCGCCGAGCTCGGCGTTATTTCGTACGCACTGGAGCTCAAAGGTACACCCGCGGCAAACGAGCCTCCGGTGCAGTTCCAGGCATCTCTCGGACAACGTCATGTACGCACGTTACGGTTCATCAATCACGCCAAAGTTAAGACAGAATTCCTTGCAAAGGTGAGTGAGATTGGCTCGAGCTCCATCGCACACATTGGTTACGCTAGCCGTGGTTGTACAGGTCAGGTCATATCAGGTTCCAAGGATGAAATAGGCTTCTGTCCAACCAGCATCCTGTTCCTTGTACTGACAAGCAAATCAGGGCCCCCGGTACTTCGACGTTCGGGTTGCTTTCCTTGCCGGTACAAAACGAGTGTTACGATAACAACAGCAACCTCTGTACTTCCTTGGATCATGCATTACGCGGTCTGTGGCAATTTTCAGTGAACTTACAATAATTGTCGGAAATTTATTCGACCAACACTTATCCAAGCCCTTTTTGAAGGACTTTACAGTGGTACTTCCCATTAAGGCAAAAGAATGCTTGTTCTAACTATGAACTACACGATTCGCAAAGAATTTGGCCCCCGTTTCTAGCCTGAACATCTGATAGTTAAGGTTAAGTCCATGTCTCCGTAGGTGGTCAGAGGCAGTTTGTTCAAACAGGTCGGTAAGCTTGATGGCACTGAGGTCTTTCATATTTATGAATATTTCTATACGGTCACCTAACAGTCTGCACCGTTTCATGGAAAACAACCCTATGCTCCTAAGGCATTCGTCATATGACTTCCCAGACTGGATCACAATCGTACTAGTCCCCAATTTTTGGCTTTTTTCTACGTAAACAATATCCTTCCGGCGATCCGGCGTCCAAGCCTGCACACTGCACCCTAAGTGAGGCCGTACCACCGCCTTATATAAGGGAAGGAGAACCGCAAGTTTAGTGTTGCATAATGCTATCCTGAGACGGAATAGATTCTGTGGCGCCTTGTTGGCGGCATGTTGGCACTCTGCTGAGGGTTTGAAGTTACACGTCACAATGATACCCAGATCAGCTGCTTCGTCAACGCATGGCAACGTCAAGGTACCGTCAGTAATTTGCAGGGTAACCCGTTCGTTGCTGGAGGATAAAAGTTGGCATTAGGAGGCAAGCCCCACAAGGATGACTACCTGGATACAGTGCGAAGGTATTTCGGTAGCGTGTTTCGATTGCCTCTGTTTACGACATGTCTGAAAACGATGCAGTATACATAAATAAAGTGCATATTCTCCTTTTAGATGACACACGCCTGTTACATCATGATCAGGTGAATAAAAGCATTCTCTGATAAAATGCTCGGAGCATGTGCAAAAATATCACAAGTTTACTTCTAACACAAGAGATCTATGTGTATGAAGCTTGAGGTGTTTTACTATTTGAGCTGTGCAAAGCTTCTGCGACCTTTAACCGTAGTTCAGAAGGAAGGCTTTGCCGATTTCTCCGCCATTGATCCAGAACATCCGTTACTTGTTGATCTGACTGAGCCACAGATTTCAGGATTATAGGGCCGCAGCCTCTATACTTTGGTGAGAGAGGTATCCTGGTGAACGATAGCGCCACAATAGTATCCAACGAAGGGTTTCACGAATGAACCGTCACTGTTTTAAATCGTGCTTTCCGGTCTCTTGAACATCGTTAGAAGGATGCTCCGGCACGCCATCTATGAAGCTTGTGTTAAGGCGGTCTTGCCTGATGTGTCCCTCTTCGGTTGTTCTTTTTGATCGTCGTGCGCTTCAAGGGACATAATGCTTTCGTTTCTAGGGCTAGTAAAACGGCCTGTCAGTGTCAACTGGTCATTCAAATAAAAGACGCGACCTGTACTGCGTTCTATTCATCGTGTTAGGATTTCTGAACTTTTGACCAAACAGAATGAAGACGCATTACATCGATCTCGCCATGCATTCAGCCCACTATAACAAGCTGCTATCCACCGGATGCCTGATCTGTTAATCACACAAAGGCCAGCCTTTCTGATAAAGCTCATGAAAACTAAGAGCCCATTCACATTACATCGTTGTTTAGTGCTGGTTTACGCCTATCGAAGTAGTACAACCATCACTAGGGTACTGGATCTTAACGTGGTGAGATGACTTGTGTTCATATTGTATTACGCTGTGGGGTACCTTTCAAGTGCCTTCAGAGCTACTCATACCAGATAAGTCAGGGGTTATGCGTCAGGCCAGCTCGATTTCAACATCCCCTTCTTTGGAGGTTGGGAAGAGATCGCCTACTCTCTTCCTCCAAAACTCGAGCATGGGAGGAAACATGTTACGGACTATAAGTTGATAGCTCCATTGGCATAGAGCGGGATTACCACGCGTTGTCGCCGACGGTGGGAGGGCACCGATCGTTGATCATTGAACCGTCGCCACCAGCCTGAAGGCAGGTAGCTCCTGGTCATAAACGTGTGAAACTCGCCAACTTCCATATGCAGTAGACCAGGTGCGCATTATACAGCGCTCGAAGAGCTTACGTAAGCTGTGCGAAAGCTTCAAAAGCTGTAGATGACAGCCCAGAAGCAGATCTTGTTAGGACACTACGGTCACACTCCTGCGTTGGACCCTCTTCCCACTGCTTTGTGTGTTGGTCTGTTGATATAGAGACCATAGGTGAGACATATCTATCAAAACTTTGTGGACGTACATCCAATTGGTAGCATGTTTCTTTTTATTATCCTTCTCTTTTAACCCTCCTCTTTCCCTCATGTTGAGCAAAACTGCCGCTGACCTCGCAAACAATGTAAGCACTGTATACAAATCGTCCTTCTGTCCGAGCTTCCCATTTCACATTGACCTCTTCAAGGTTCAAGATTTAGGTCAGGTCGGTCAGCAGGTAGTGTCGACTGTCACTCCTCGTTCCTTTGGAACTATCACCGCTATCACCGGAGCGCGTATATAAGCTTGCGTACAACACTACAGTAACTAACCTTAGACCTTTTGGTTCCGAATTTATGGAGACTGATAATGTACTTCACGTCTCTTACCACACTGAGTCAATGACTCAAGGTGTTGATGGTGTCGGCATTGCAATCTGCAAAATTCCGAAGCCCGTATACTCAACTAGATATCAGTTAACACTCGCACGTGTGTGATCTGACTTCGAAGTTTCGTTGAAATCAATAAACATCGTCTGGAGATAAGGTGACTTGTCATTGCCCCGGTTTTCGCTGCGCTACTGACTGCAGAGTATGAAAAACGAATTCCACCATCATTTCTCACTGTTTGACATGTGATGAAAAATACTGTCATTAGGATGTTTACTTTGGCATTGATTACCAAGTGAGTCGCATACGGGGCTCCGAAGACACTCGGAATACAGTTGCTGAGTCAATGCATGACAGACAAATGATATATTAGTCTTTTCCACCGGCTGAGCAATTCACAACCAATACAGTAACGACGTCACGTTCCAACACACGCATTCACAGTGCATCACATTGCGCTAACCGAGCTTCACGAAAACCTGGGCTCAAACTGACTCCATTGCCATCAAGCAAAGATGGAACATGTCAATTCAAAACTGTCGGTCGACTTGGAGTATTACCTAGAGTTTGATCATGCTCTACAGCGTTAAAGTATGATGCTCTTGCTTTCGACTTCAACGTTGCACCCAATTAGGAAATATTTCACTCGTCTCGTAGAATCACAGCTAGCAACTCAACAGCAGTAGCGTAGATGAGGTCATTATCAGTCCATGAAAGACGAACTGTGAACGGACCAGATGCTGACTAGTAGTAGTAGTAGTAGTAGCAATAGTAGTAGTAGTAATAGAAGTAGTATTATTATTAGTATTGGTAGTAGTAGTAGTAGTAGTAGTAACAAAGGTCTAACGAATGGACATAGGGACACACAAAACCATGGCAATCATTGGAAGAATACGGGTTTAATCACCGTAGCATCATCATGGTACACTAACTGAAACTAAGCAATACCCCTCAGCTTCATTGCCGCAAGAAGAAGGGAACTCTAGTTATTTTTGTTATTTTTCCATTTGCCACTTTTCAATTTATCTTGCTCAATTGTTATGCATTACGCATCTGAATTTAAACAAGTGTGTACACAGATCTTCCTCTGGTTTCTATTGCATGCCTTATCCTAAATTGTTTCTAGCCATCGGTACCCTTCGTCCTTTGATCCTCAACCAGACAGACGTGTGGATCCAACCTCAGCGAGACAGGAAGTCAGCAATTTCATATGCTGTCGCTAAGTGGACGGTTGACCGCACTTGATCTCTTTCAAGCAAGTCTCGCGTGAGCGAAAAGGGCGCAACAGAGTAGACTCTCAGCTGACATACGCAGGACGTGACCGACCCATCTTAACTGACGCAGGAATACTGGCTTGTTGAGGAGAATACTCGCATTCCCTAAGACGCGTCTGACTTTACCGCTGAGGATATTTTGCTTCCACCACACACCAGCGAACCATTTCAAGCACCCATTGTCGAAGGCCGAGAGCCGGCGTATGTCGTCCACGCGAACTGGCCACGACTCGCCTCCACCTAGCAACTCCGCCCGAACGGTGGCATTGTAAATACGACCCCTTACAACGAAAGAGACAGCCCGACGACGCCACAAGTGTTTCAGGTTTACAAACGCCGACCGAGCTCTGGTGATGCGGAGGGAAACTTTCTTCACAATAGTGCTACCAGCAACCATGCAGCTGCTCAGATGGAAAAAGCTATCCACTTGTTCAAACTGTGTACCTTCAAGAGTAAGCACAGTGACGGGCCAGTGCCAATACTGGAGCAACACTTTACATATCGACGGGGCGAAATACCTTTCGTACTTAGATACTTCAATTGTCGAACGGTTTAGAATGGGTTGCATACGTTGCGAGTCATCACCAAGTAAGATGATATCATCAATATATGTCGGTCGTTTTCTTGGTTGGTAGTAACTGCAGACGAAAATCTTGGAAACCTTCCAGACCTCTCGATAACACGTCTGTAATCGTACAATTGAAGATAAAAATGGACAGTCATGTCGAGCACTGCTTTTGATAGTGAAGGACGGCGAAAGCTTGTCATAGACTTACTTTTACGAAGAGGTGGAGGCAGAGAGCATGCAGAATGGCAGTGTACTTTTCTGAGACCCTGTTCTTCAGCAAGCAACGCTGCTGCGCAAGTCCATTAATCGCGTCAT